GGAGTCTCACTCTGTTGCCCAGGCTGGAGTGCAGTGGCATGCCCATGGCCACTGCAGCTTCAACCTGCAGGGCTCAGGCGATCCTTCTGCCTCAGCTTTCCAAGTAGCTGGAACCACGGGCGCACGCCACCACGCCCGGCTAGTTTTTTTATTTATTGTAGAGATGAGGTCTCATTAACTTGCCCTGGCTGGTCTCGAACCCCTGGACTCAGATAATCCTCTCGCCTCGGTTTCCCAAAGTGCTTGAATTATAGACTTGAGCTACTGCGCCTGTTTTCACATATACTCTTAAGGCCACCATCATTTGTGATCTCAATCTGTTGATCCTCTTTTACCACAGACAGAGTTTATTTACCTGACTTATTCACAAATTGATCATGATCCATTCCTTCCCAGTTCAGGTCTTTTGTGGTTGGGAAGTAATGCTCAAACTCTTTAGAAAGCTGAGATAGCTGGGCTCGGTGACTCAGCCTGTAATCCTGCACCTTTGGGAGGCTGAGGTGAGTGGATTGCCTAAGCCCGCGGGTTCGAGGCCCGCCTGGGCAGCGAGACCTCATCTACAATAAATCAAAAAATCTGCCAGGCGTGGTAGCGCATGCCTGCAATTCTGGCTATTGGAAGGCTGAGGCGGAAGGATCGCCAGAGCCTAGCAGGTTGAGGCTGCGGTGGCCGGGAGCGGCCACTGCACTCCAGTCCGGGTGACGGAGTGAGACTCCAACTCAAAAAAAACAAACTCTGCTAATGTTTAAAACATGTCAACAATTCCAGTGTTCACTTGTCACCCCTATAGTTCCAGGTTGGCTGAATGTAGCCACTTTATCTGCCGACTTGAACACAGTTGTTGTTCTTCCTTGAAGGAATAGATAGCATTTATTGAGCAGGTTGAATATGTCATAACTAAGCAAGTTTTGTGACCCAATTTGTGTTACTGAAATGTGTTAGGCTGGGCTTGGTGGCTCAGCCTGTAATCCCAGCACTTTGCATCCAAGGCGAGTGGATTGCCTGAGCCCGCAGGTTTGAGACCAGCCCGGGTAACTTGACAAGACCTCGTCTCTATAGTACATCAAAAATTAGCTGGGCATGGTAGAGCATACCTGTGGTTCCGGCTACTTGGAAGGCTGAGGCAGAAGGATTGTCGGAGCCTAGCAGGTTGACGCTGGGGTGACTGTCAGTGTGCCACTGCACTCCAGCCTGGGCTATAGATTGAGACACTGAGGATTGCCTGAGCCCATGGGTTCAGGACCAGCCTGGGTAACTTGGCAGGATCTCATCTCTACAGTAAATCAAAAAATTAGCTGGCCGTGGTGGCATGTGCCTGTGGTCCCGGCTACTTGGAAGGCTGAGAAGGAAGGATCATCTGAGCTTAGCCAGTCAAGACTGCAGTGGCCATGAGCATGCCACTGCACTCCAGCCTGGGCACAGAGTGAGACTCCAACTAAAAAAAACAAAAAAATGTTTTGCCAAATTGAGAAGTGATAAATTGTTTTTTATTTGCATTTTTTTCTTTTCTTTCTTTTTTGTTTTTTGGAGTTGAGTCTTACTCTGTCGCCCAGGCTGGAGTGCAGTGGCATGCTCACGGCCACTGCAGCCTCGACTGACTGGACTCAGGCAATCCTGCCTCAGCCTTCCAAGTAGCTGGAACTACAGGCGTACATCACCAAGCCCATCTTATTTTTTCATTTTATGTAGAGACAAGATCTTGCCAAGTTGCCCAGACTGGTCTCAAACCCCTGAATTTAGGCAAACCTCTTGCCTCTACCTCCCAAAGTGCTGGGATTACAGGTGTGAGCCACTATGCAAGTCTCTGTCTTTCTATTTGTCCTGGCAACCCCATCTGTCATTTTGTACACTTACCCTTTTTAAAGTGAGTTGTTTGCCTTTTTTGTCCTTGATTTGTATGCAGTTTTTAAAATTTTAAAATTATTTTTATTTTATTTTTTTGAGTTGGAGTCTCACTCTGTCGCCCAGATTGGAGTGCAGTGGCCGCTCCTGGCCACCGCAGCCTCGACCTGCTGGGTTCCGGCGATCCTTCTGCCTCGGACTTCCAAGTAGCTGGAATTACGGGCATGTGCTACCATGCCCGGCTGATTTTTTTATTTATTGTAGAGATGAGGTCTTGCTGTCCAGGCGGTTTCGAACCCGTGGGCTCAGGCAATCCACTCACCTCAGCCTCCCAAAGGCGCAGGATTAAAGGCTGAGCCACCGAGCCTGGCTTGCACTGTTTTTTTTTTTGCATTGGAGTCTTACTCTGTCACCCAGACTGGAGTGCAGTGGCCACTGCTGGCCACTGCAGCCTCGACCTGCTGGGCTCCGGCGATCCTTCCACCTCAGCCTTCC